GTCCGGGGCGCGCCCAGCGGAGCTGGCTCCCGCCGAGTGCCGGTGACGCGCGACCCCGCCCGGCTACTAGGAGACGGCGAGGGACCAGGAGGAGCCTGGGGGCCCTCCCGGAACTAGAAAGAGTTGGTTGCTGCCATGATTTATGTATTCATTACTCTGGCATTAATTGCCTCGCTGCCCTTGGGAGTCCTGAGAAAAGTCCCTGACCAACAGGCTACCCTAGATTTTACGATTAACTGTCGTCCTAAGTCCTCCAAATGGTTTAGGGTACATTTTAAGAAATTATTAACAGGGTTGAGAGAACGGCGCTTTCATAGCCGGTACCTTTATTTTTAATTTATTTATGTAGAGACAGAGTCTCACGGAGTCACCCTGAGTAGAGTGCGGTGGCGTTCTCATAGCTCACAGCAACCTCAAACACACACTTGGGTTCAAGCGCCTCTTGCCTCCCCAGTAGCGGGGATTGCAGATGGCTGTGAGTACATCAGGCTAGTTTTTCTATTTATGGTAAAGAGGGGGTCTCACTCTTGCTCAGACTGGTCTCTGAACTCCTGAGCTCAAGGGATCCACCCACCTGGGCCTCCCAGAGTGTTAGGATTACAGATGTGAGCCACCGCACTGGGACCACAACCAGTGTATTTGAAGGCTAAACTTTCAGAGCTTTTGTTTCCAGAGCGCGATAGGCACGATAAAGTTTCAGTCTGAAAACTTAAAACGTAGGGCGTGGATGTTAAAATGAGACCTGCTGGTATATTTAAAACTAGGAATGTTGAGTTCAGTGAACTTTCTATTGCACCAATCACAATTACTGGTCCTTTATGTAAGCCCAGAAGATGTCTGTTGGATGCATAAAACACCGAGCTAGGAGTTACTTAAAAAAAAAAAAAAAAAACCAGAAAAACCAAAACCAAAAATCCAAATTGAGATTGTTCTTGTCCTCTGGAAGTTTTCTTATAAAGCCATATGGGTACACCTAACGTGGTGGAAGAAAAACGTGTTATAAGCAATGACAGAGATGCAACGTGCCAGAAAAAGGGAGGGGAATGCAGACAGATGTAAGAGATATGCAAGTGTCTATAAAAATATAAAGAATTAAAAAATAAGAAGGTGCGAGTTAGACACTTTTGTAAAAGGTTGGTAGGAGGATACATTTATAAAATTGGTAGGAAAAGTGGTTTAGTAATATGTATCAACAGCCTTTAACGTTCATAAATTCTATTCAAGTTGCCCAACTCAGAAAACTTAACCAAAGGGAATAGTAATCCAAAATGTTAAAAATCTGTTAGATTGGACTATATGAACCTGTCGTTTTGATAGGTAAAGATGTTGGATGCTGATAATTTCATTAATCAACCTAATATATGAGCAGAGATATTCATTGTGTCACGATTTGTGACTGTGAAAAAATAGAAAAAGCTAATGTCCAACATTAGAGAAAGGGTTAAATTGTGGCACACACTTTAATGTTAGTCCTTTATAATTGTTTAAAATTTAGGTATAATTTCATGCAATAAAATTTATGATTCTTATGTGTTCAATTTGATGACATTTAACATACACCACCCAAACAAGAGCTAGAACATTTTCATTGCTTCAGAAAGTTCCTTCGTGCCCCTTTACAGGTTTCCAGACAATCCACTGCCACCCCAAGAGGCTTCCATTAAGTATTCGTCTATTCTTGAACTTCACATAAATGCAACCCTGCCTTGATTTCTGTCTAACTTCCTTCTGCTTGATGTCTGACTTCAATATAATATCTGTGAGATTTACCCTTACTTTTAGTAATTAGTTCTTTTTTTATTGTGGAGTGGTATGCCATTGTATGGCCATACCACAATGTAGCTATCTGTTCTTTTGATGGCTGGCTGTTTGGTTTGTTTATAGCTTTGGGTTATTATGCCTAAGGATATTTGAGCATTCTTTTATAAGACTTTGTATGGACATATATTTTTATCTCTCTTGGGGAAAATAGCTGAGTCAAATTGCTGAATCATATATAGGAAGTGGAGTTTAACATTATAGACACTGCTAAATTATTTTCCAAAGTGAGCATACCCTTTTATACTCTTATCAGCAATAGATGAAGGTTTCACTTCTTCCACATCCTTGCCAAATTTTGGTATTTTCAGAGGAGGTCTTCCTCTGTCACCCAGGCTGGTCATAGCTCTCCAACTTCTGGGCTCAAGACATCCTCCCAAGTAGCTAGGACTATAGGTGTATACCATATGCCCAGATTATTTATTTATTTATTTTTGAGACTGATTCTCAAGCTGTCACCCTGGGTAGAGTGCTATGGTGTCACAGCTCACAGCAACCTCAAACTCTTGGGCTTAAGCTATTCTCAAGCCTCAGCCTCCCAAGTAGCTGGAACTACAGGCGCCCATCACAACACCTGGCTATTTTTTGTTGTTGTTGTTGTTGTTGCAGTTGTCATTGTTGTTTTAGCTGGCCCAAGCCAGTTTGAATCCGCCAGCCTCAGGTGTATGTGGCCTACCCGCTGAGCTACAGGCGCTGCCTTTATTTTTTGTAGAGACAAGGTCATGTTGTGTTACCCAGGCTGGTTTTCAACTCCTGGCCTCATGTGATCCTCTCACCTCGGCCTCTCAAAGTACTAGGCTTACAGGTGCAAGCCACTGTGCCCAGCTCATTGTGATTTTAATGTATGTAGTACATTTCCCTGATGCTCAATGATGTTGAGTAATTTTTCTTTTTTTTTTTTT